AGTCAACAGAAAATCTAATTCCGATTGATTTTAGCATAACAAAATATAACCATGAATCTTGTTCTCCATCCCCAAGTTATGCAAACAAAGGCCAAATCTTTACATTAATTCAGGAGTTTACATTATCTTATTTTAAAAGAAAAATACTAAAGCCCCTATCCTGGTTACTTTTTTTTTCAAAACTAAAAGATGCAGAAAGCTTTATTTGATAAATGGAACTATAATTAAAAAGAAGATAAAAGCGACTTTTTACAGAAGAAATCATGACGAACATAATTTATGTAGTGGTATCCATCCAAAACTTGACTATTTGGCTGTGATTTGAAAGTTTAATTATATCGGCACGTGACAATTTCGTCTCTTTTCACATTTTAACTTGATTAAAAATGTATATTATTCACTTTTAAATAGGCCTGGCATGGTCGACAAATACTGACTGTAACTGAAACCTTATCGTGCTGCTAATTCACTATTAAGTTTTAGCTAGCTGGTATTTAATACGAACGGAATGAACTTGAACAATTTGAAACACATCTCGGGCAGGTAGCACAACAAAAAGTAACTAAATAAAAGTAGGTAATTTGTTTAAAAAGAAATCGTATAATCTAAAGTTCATTGTTGAAATGGCAAAGTAGCACGTTAAAACTAGTTCAATAGCACTGCTTAAACATGTAAACCTTTAAAAGTATTGATTTAAAGCGAAATAATTAGCATACATAATATTATGTTTCCAATACCGCTTTGACCATTTTTTTTTCTTCCTTGTTATATTTTATTTTAGTTATATTAAACCTATCTACATAGAAATGTGGGCCAAGCATATCCTAGTAGTTTTCGTACTAGTATAAGGATCAGAATAGTTCAATGTTCGTGCCACGATATAACTTTTAGCTGTGGGGCATCATAGGCGTAAGAATCATCCCCCATATTCGGTTAAAAGTAGCCGTGTAAGCGGTGGGTGTTACCTACTGATTGACCATCCTCCGGCCAACGTTTGAAATGAGGAATGGTTATGTCTGAACCTAAGAGGACATTGAGCCGGTCGTTTAGACCATATGTTTGTAAGTAACAAATATCTATGCCTAAGTGCTCATGTAATTGTTCTAAAATGGTTGTATCATCATCTACCCCTTTGTAGCTTGACATAAATCTATGTATTCTTGATTTTCTTAGTCTGGTATACCGCTCTTCCTTCTTTAGCCTTTTATTTTGCAAAATTGGCTATTTTGAATTTGTCTTTAACCGAATGTGCACAGGGTCAGCCCCTCTGGACCGATTCCGTATTGGAAAAGGAATGTTGACTATATTTTTGAATTTACTAAGTGTATCTACACGGAATGTGGAAAGCTTTGACTAAAGTATACAAATCTGTTGTACAAACACACACATATATATTAAAAAAAGTACTTGTACTCAAGATATGTTTGTGAATTGAAGACGTCAACCTGATTCAGACTCTGACAAGTCGGAGTGCAAGGTGATTTTCATGTGAAGAATAAAAATACTTTTGTCCATTAAGCAGTTCGCATGTTGCATTTGCATAACCTCCAGAATCTCTGAAATGCATATCTACAGTTTCTTTCAGTATCTCTCTATATACTGTCTCTGGTATTTACTCTCCTCTACCATGAACTGTCAGTAAATCAGGAATGCAGAGTAAAATGAATAGTTGGTAACTTTGACAACAGATACATAATACCATGTTGAATGACACTCTCAAGAAGGTCGAGCATGTTTGGTGGGATAGAGATTCAAACCCGCGACCCTCAGGTTGCGAGCCGAGCGCTCAAACTACCTGGCCATGCCGGGCCCTGTTTCAGAAGTCTCTTGGATTAAATTTGGACAGGTCTACGGTGCAGCACAGTAAATTGAACAATGAGATATGTTTCTGTAGTTATTGAAACCTCTCCTACATGGATTAATTGGCTACGTCCACCAATGCTTTGCTAAGCGTCCATTATTTTGTACATTGATGAAGAAAACAGTTCGACTTTCTGAAGTTGCGGAATAGCTCGATACATGTCAAGATCACTCACTATCTTGCAAATGCTTAATGGCGAGGCTGATTTCATACAATAAATCGTGCCACACCACAAGACCAACGGAAAAAATTTAAACTTAGCATCTTAGTAGTGATTAATTATTTTCACTTCGGAACTCCTATGTGGCTCATATGAAGATGTTGTCTTCTGCAATGAAGATCAGGGTATTTTATTTGTTTGTTTGAAGTTAAGCACAAAGCTACAGAATGGGCTATCTGTGCTCTGCCCACCACGGGTATCGAAACCCGGTTTCTAGCGTTATAAGTCCGTAGACATACAGCTGTGCCATTGGGGGGCCAGAGTGTTGTAAATCTCTCCATCTGGTATAGGTACACGAACAAGTTGAAGGTACTTACCAACGATGAGCTGAAGATAGAAAATAAACTTACATCTTGAATCTTGTCGAAGAACGTCAGTGCCTCGAGCAACAGTGGCTGCATCGTTCAAAGCAAAATTCAGAAATATATTTGTCTTGCGTGGCATATAATAAAAAAAAAGCTTATATTTAGGTTTTTAATTATTTTTCGAAGGTAAGTGTTCTTGTTTTTCATGTTGGATTCATTGCCAAAGTTTTTACCTAAGTCTTTTGGAGTGGATGCATAAAACGGAAGAAATATTCGTAGATGCCTTAGCAGTGACCCCGTAGACAAGCCAAATGATTACTGTCATTCTTTCTGTATGTCTGGAGTACAATCGGATGCTATCAAACGAAAATTTTGCGTTTCTAGTCCCAATATTCTTGCCCAACAAGATCTTTCATAGGCCTACGTACGCCATTGCCATTGACAAATCGTCGTGTGTAATAACTTATTATTTTTTTCTGGACTGATTTCGACTTAGAAGATCTTTGAGTCAATTTTTAGCCATTTAGCTAGATCTCCGAAATCAAATACATATGTTTTTTGTCTGCCTTTGTTCTTTAGAAATGTTTTTCTCTTGATAAAGTGTTGTTCCGCCAATTTCTGAGACAGCGTAACAGGAAATTTATAGCCATGATCTCTTCACTAGTTTTAAGAACACCAGTTTCTTGGCTTGTTCTTATGATAGTTGCTGTACTTTATTTTGATGTATCGTGTTATAAAAACTTTAGAAGAACGCCTTATTGACTTTCGAAAACTGCCCTTTGTTTCTGCTTTTCCTTTCCTATAATGTGCACCAGAAAGGACCTTCCACTAGCCATGTTCTTAAGTTCACTGTTTAACCACTTTTTAATTATCACTGTTTTAATTGTAACTTTTTAGCTACCTTGCAATTTTAATAAAGTTTTACAATCTTGAAAATAATTTTAAATTAATATTCTATTTCTGAGCGTTTTCTGAACGAAAAACAGAAACTTGCAGTACGTTGAGCTTGCACCTTTCTTTTACAGAACAATGGCCTAATTTTCAGATTTTCTTAGAAACTTCAGTCACACATTTTCGGACTACTTTTATTCTGTGCAATTCCTGATAAAAAAAATACTTTCTCCTTTATTTGAATAAAAACTAAACGCTCCGCCCCGCTCTTCCAAAGGCTCGATCCGCTGCAAACGTGTTTAAAAAAGGGGAAAACATATCAAGAAAAGTAACTTTAACAAAGGAATTCCTCTGTGAAATTATTTATTATTTTACATTTGTTTTATTTTATCTTCCAAAATTGATTTCCAACTTTACTTATCCGATAACGCACACTCTATAAAAGTGACAATTTTCGTATAACTGTTCCTTTTCTACAAACATTATGGACAATTTTTTTTTAAATATCAAAGCCTGCATTTAGGTACGGTTACAAAGTTTATGATGATACAAAATATCATGTAAAAAAGTCACATAACACGAAATTCAAATCACCTCTGAAGAAAGAATATATACATAGTTTGTTATATAATTTATGGCTCACTCATCACTTGGGTGCATGTTGCTGTTAGGTCTTTTTTAGACAATAAAGAGAAGTATTCATTACTTATTTTAGAAAACAAAGTTTAGTCATATTCGGAGGTCATTGGGCTGAAGTGTTGACTACATATTTATTTTACTCTTACACTAATTCTAGCTACTTCTTTGCATTTTCTCCTTTTATTACATTTTAGTTTCATTTGTTTGTCAGTGATGTTACTTTCTGAACAACATAGTTAAACATTTTTGCCTTTTGCCCAATTTGAAAGTTTATTCAAATGTAACATTTATGGAAGTTGATTAATGCTAAATTTGTATTTATCACATGATCAAGTATTTTCAATCTGCATCCCTTAAGTGGTTTGCTATTTTTTCACTACAATCCAGTCACTTTAAAATACAGATCTTGAAGTCGGGGTTATTAGCTGTTTTCAGGGGTCAGATCATGGCACAATTTCTAACGAAGGTATGCAGTGATAAACTTATAAATATGTTACGTTTTTGTGGTATTTGAATGATATAAAGACTGTTTTAGAGTAAACCATGTTTCATTGCACAAAAAAACACAATTCAAATAACCGAATGACTTTTAATAATTGTGTATAAAGATTCCCAAACCTTTAAATCTAACGAAAGTGTTGTAACTATATTTTATGCCTTTTTTATTTTTAAGGCTATTTTACTATATCCAAATTCGAGAAACTACCATTATTATTGGATACATTAATATAAATTCCTTTAAAACAAGAATCGTGTTTAAAGACAGCCATTCTATTATCCACGCGCTTTCAAAATATACTAACATCCTGCCGATGTTATAAGATATTTGTAAACATTTTACAGCATGTAGTCAAGTATATTGGTTTAGTGACTAACCGTATCTCACTAGTCTTTTGGCGAATAAAAAAGAAAAGAGACTCTAATATTTGGTTTTATTGAACTTACGCCACTCATGCTCTTTGAATGAAAGAAAATACTTTAATGATTTTTACTACCTTTTTTCAAAATTTCTCTGCCAGCTATCTACTCTTTTTATTAAAGAAATATATATAATTTCACATTTTATCTCCTAAAAGATACTTACCAGAACCACCACCAATATACATTGACGGATCTTGTCCTTTAATTCTTCGAACGACGAACACCATACCAACAAGTACTGCCAAAAATACCGCTATCGCCACAAATAGGCCTATGTACAGTGTAATGTTGGTTTCCGGTTCGGCTGAATGAGCTAAAAAACAAAAAAAAAACCACTTAAATCGTAAAACAAAATATATATATATATAGATAATAAATTCTACGTTTTTATGGAATATCACGAGTTTCTTTGTGTAACATTGTATATTACATTTAAATCCTTTTGCTGACTTTCACTTTTTAATGCACCAGCCAGTCTTCTCATTTACGGTTTAAATTAATACAAAATTTAATGTTCTTTTTTGTTGAATATTAATCAATAAAGTTTAACCTCGGAAACTGAGTATTTTAAATGAACCCTAGTTCTAATCATACGTAATCGTCAAAATCCCATGTTTTAAAATTGTAAAGCAGAAAATATTTAATAAAATGTTGATAAACATTATTTTCTAAATTATTGATGCCGATGTGAATGCAGTTTATAAATCTTTTGAAAGTGTTAACTTATAGGCAAGGAATTTCTCTGAAAACTAAAACACAGTTATAATTCAATCAGTCTTTATAGCTTGTCCGGAGCTTTCATGTCACACGAAGTTGCGAGTTTCATTTTAATAAAGAATTATTTTCCAATTTGAAATTACATTTTCAAAAGCTGCGTAAATTTACTCGGAAGAAACGTTTGCAACAATAATTTATTTTAAACAGAAAAAAACGGACGAATCGGAAATAAATTAAAGCTGGCCGTGGATAACAACTATATTTTTAATTCATAAAATGAATCAGATGTAACAAAAACAGATTTGCTAAAGTGGAGTGTGAAAAATGGTATATGCTTTTTTTGGCTTTGTTTAAAATAACTTTAGTGCTGAATATTCGAGTTTGGAAATAAAATAAAAACGGCATGTCTAGCTGAAACATCTAGGAATTGTTTGTTTGTTATAGATTTCGCACAAAGCTACACGAGGGCTATCTGGGCTAGCCGTCCCTAATTTAGCAGTGTAAGGCTAAAGGGAAGGCAGCTAGTAAGCACCACCCACCGCCAACTATTTTACCAACGAAAAGTGGGATTGACCGCACATTATAACGCCCCCACGGCTGAGAAGGTGAGCATGTTTGGTGTGATGGGGATTCGAACCCGCGACCCCCAGATTGCGAGTCGAGCGCCCTAACCACCTGGCCATGGCGGCCCAAAGTACCTACGAAAAAATGTTTATAGATTTACGCACTGCAGCAAAGATTTCGAGTTTCCTTCACTTGAAATATATTCTCCCACAGCAAACTGTTTTATTTCACTTGTATATTATTAGTGCTTCCACAAGTTCCAGTTAAAGTTAGTGACATACGAACGTATCCATCGTGGATGCATGTCTCCCTCCACGATGGATAGATAGATATTTAAATACTAAATGTTATCTGAATCTCTTGAGGCTCTCTCTCCCTAGAAAACTAATGCAACCGTCAAGTTTTATAATAAGAACAAAAGTGCTTGGACTCAAATGTGTTAACAAATCTTATAAATGTACCTTATTTCATAAAATTGTCAAACATGACGAGTATAAGAAGACCATTTACAAACTGAATTTTAACTATGCATCGTGTTTAGCACTGTTAGAGAGAATATATGCACCCACCGCTACATCGTGAGAAGCACTTTGCACGCATGATAAATTAGATAGTTGGTGTTCTAGCCTGCGCATCGCGTGCTAGTTTCATACCTTTCAAATTTCATGTTTCTAGAAAGCTGTTATAACTGATGTCATCACCTTTTCATGAGCCGTCACGCAAAGTTTACGGATTAGTCTGACAAAATATGTAACGCCATGCTATCTGACACATACAGCGATCATGTTCCCGCTGGTGGCGTTAAACACTTGTATACTTCCTACCCTTATATCTCAGATTTTCTGTTACGTTTTGCCATTTTATAAATAAGTTATATACTCGCATACATACTGAAAAAAAAAAGCGATTTATCTTGTATGAGTCATACTTTACTTCTCAGAAGAAATAAAATAAGTAATAAACGAAAATGGACTGGAATAAATTAATTACACAATAATGCTTTTTTTTGCCCCCCCCCCCCGCATGTATATCGAAAATATTAGGTCTAAACAGCTAAAGTGTAATCCTCTTTTTCAACACTGTTTAGCTAACGACAAACTCTACAGTCTCTCTGTTCTCAGAATCACTGCTTGATGTTTGTAATCATTTTCGTTTTCCAACTGGCTGAATTCCCTGAAAAGACTACGTCAGTAAGCACTATCTAGTTCATGCCTCGTGAGTTGGACACCAAAGACACGTGCCAGGATTTCCAACATACATACGCCCTCTGTTGGACAATGTAGTTAAAGGAACGATAAATGCCAGTGAACAGTTTTTTCACTTAATGATAAAAGTAGTGATACACTGACTATAGTAACGTAAGCTATAATTTCAGAGATAGTTACATTCTGGCATGCTTGTCCCTTAATTTGTTTGAGGAGAATACACATATGAAATGATCTATGTATTAATTGTTTGTTTTTCTTTATATTTATCAAGCTGTTTCTCATAATCTTTGTGTACTGATTGGTTGCTAAAAACGGTAAAAGAGAATAATTTCTTTTTTTTTCTCAACTTAGTCAGGTCGAAGGAGGGGAGGGGAGGGATGGACTCATCAAAGAAGCTCCGTTCCACAAATCAATAGTGGTTGTCATGAATACGCTACTGGGTGAAATGCCATTTCATACGATAAAAGTTTCCCCAAACTAATTAACTTAAAATATAAAACTACTTATTTAAATTTCTTATTGAATAATGATAATAAACATTAAAAAATGATTTCATCTGTATTATTTTTTTCTCTAAGTATTCATGTAAAACACATGAAGCCCTAGACATTTCAATTATCCAGGAACTCATATTTAAAAAAAAAATTACTGTTACTTATTGTTTGTTGAATTCCTATCATTGTGGATCTTCCTTGTGAACTATATAACGATATACATCCTCCCTCTTCCCCTTCTCGTTTTCCCTACCACAAAGAAATTTAGTTGTAGCCGGGCTGGCGGGCGGGGTTAATCCAATTAGAGCAAAGTATAGTTGGAATAACTGAATTAAAACGCCTTCGCAACAGATTACGGGCAGTATCGTAAACACTATTTTTTTTTCCGAATGTTAACTGATAATAAATCTAGGATTTACTTTGGAATGATGTTACGCTAAGTTGAAGGCGGGTGATTGACGCACTAAATTCACGGAATTTGTCTCTGTTTATCGAATACAATGGTCTTAGTTAAGCCTAAGTATTTGAATTTACAAAAGTTAAATGAACTCAACTGTCTACAAGATCTGATGCAACAAAACCATTTTCCCACACTATACGTGAATACTAAGATTTTATTTCTCACATACTGACATTTTTACTCTTTGTTCTGGACTTTGGAAGACTGTTGACTATAAAGTCACTGTTATAACATTTCTAACCTAAACTCAGGATCTTCCATTTTGACATTTTTTATCTTTGTTCTAGACTTTGGAAGACTTTTGACTATAAAGTCACTGTTATAATATTTCTAAACTATACTCAAGATCTTACATATTGACATTTTTACTCTTTGTTCTGAACTTTGGAAGACTGTTGACTATAAAGTCACTGTTATAACATTTCTAACCTAAACTCAAGATCTTCCATTTTGACATTTTTACTCTTTGTTCTAGACTTTGGAAGACTTTTGACTATAAAGTCACTGTTATAATATTTCTAACCTATACTCAAGATCTTACATATTGACATTTTTATTCTTTATTCTGAACTTTGGAAGACTTTTGACTATAAAGTCACTGTTATAACATTTCTAACCTATACTCAAGAACGAATGAAACAGACTCTCAGCTTATGTCGACCCCCTCCCCCAGTGGTACAGAAACAAAAACAACCTATTTTATAAAAATATATTAAGACAGTCTTACGTTACAAGAATAAAATCGTTGCCTTTAATAATTCTTAGAAGTCGTAACCAACGTTTCATTGGAATAAACCTTTGTTTGTTTGTTGTTAAGCTCAAAGCTACACAAAGTGCTATCTGTGCTGTGCCTACCACGAGTATCAAAATCCGGTTTTTAGCGTTATAAGTCTCCAGACTTACCGCTAAGTCACTGGAGGGCTTGTAATATCCTGAATTTCACATTGTTTTTGAGCGATTTTAAACCTTTATTGCACATTATATTTATTTAGTGTATAATAACATTCTCTCTTCGGTAGACATACTGATAAAATATGGCCTGAGATCATACTTTCTAAGAAGGAAGAATTTTTAATACTATTTCGATTACAATCTCCTCTTGAAGTCTTATGAACCGTTTTAGGTTGAACGTTACCCAAAGCTATATTGGACTTTTAATGTCTACTGATGATCTGTCAAGTAATATGCCACATGTATCGAAATTGTAAATCGCGATTCCATCTTTGGCTTCCATTTCTTGAAAAACGACAAAACCTTGAGAATCATTATTTAAAAAAAAGAGGTTCACATTTCCAAAAGTGACTCCAGAATATTCTATTGGAATTATTTTTCATATTTGTAACAAGCATAACTAAATAAAGCTCATCCTTTAAAATGTTTGCTTTATATTGGAAGAAAACATTTGTAGTGTTATTTTACATGGGGAATGGTGAAATACTGTTTACATCCTTAATAGATGTTAAGATATGTTAACATCCTTTATTAAATGTAACGTGGAGGAAAACTGCGTTACAGTATTTATATATATATATATATATTTCACGATCATAGTTTAACATGAGAGATTCAATTGTAAGTGCTCCCTACGTTTGGCTGCCTTACAGTAACTATATATATATATTTCAAAACCACAGTTTAGGGATAATATTGTTTAACATGAAAGATTCACCTGTAAGTGCTCCCTATGTTTTCAATTATGGTTTAAGACGCGCTGACGGTTTTTGTACCATAGTACTCCGTGTCATTTTTCAAACGGGAAAACGTTTTTGCGGCATTACTCTGCTGTCAACTGTTAACACGGACATAAAAAGTTTGTCAGTACTGTGCAACTTGATGCAAATAATGCGTCTGATATGTGCAATTTCCTCTG